TAAAATGCTCCAGGCTGTGATTCATCTCTCCGCCGATATAGTCGAGGTCGAAAGCAAGTTTTACCAACTGAGGAGTTTTAGAAATTCTGTCAACATTACGTTTTTTTTGGACACCGCTGCTGCTCCCTTTTTTATACAAACGAAGCCAAGTCGATCAACACCATTAACAAAGACATAAGTTAGCATAAATCATTCTCCTCTATTAACCATATGTCTATAACGAGTTTACGTATAACCTAACTCTGCTATGATTCGGCTCCACCCTCTACTAAGCTCTATTCTATACTCCTCCCAACGCATGTCGTAATGCATTCCAACTACTCTCTGCGGTACCGCCTCCATTACTGCTACGAACCCCATAATGTCTCTTGTCCCCAATTCATCTTCGAAACGAGTTTACGTATAAGCTAACCGTTGCTACGACTCTGCTCCACGTCCCAACCCCAACGCATGTCGTAATGCATTCCAACTACTCTCTCTCCATTACTGCTACGAACCCCGTAATGTCTCTACGACGCAACTCTACCCGCCATACGGCCAACTAATAACGCCCAACTGCCTCTCTCTCTTGCAGTATAGCACAAAACCAGTAAACTCTTCTCCCCGTTGCTCCTCTATCCTCCCAATAAACATGTTTGCTTGTTTGCTTACCTTGTTTTGACGTGTTATATTTTTGAATAGCTTCTTCTTCAGTCACACCATGATCTTTCATATATCGAAGAACAAATCTAACAAGCTCAAGTTGGTCCATGACTAGATGTTTTTCGTATGAGTTTAGTAAATGACAAGAGTCGCGATCTGCGCCCGCCCAACTCAGCCCTGTTTATACGTTTTACTTACACAAACATGTGATACCCCTTCGTATTGAAGCGCCGAATCAACCGAATGCGTTGGGTCCAGCACTTGGCAAATAAATCGGGAACCCTCCATGCCTTTGTCAGAAACAGAAGAGAATGAAGACAAAGGGGAAAATCTCTTTTATATGCTTCTTTGCATATCACGTTGTCGTATGGCGGAACAATGTTGTATTGTATCCCGTGAGTTTTGTATACCCGCAGTAACATCCATACAATTAAATCATGCAGAACGATCTTTTTCTGACTACATGGACTAACTGTGAACTCGAGTTCACAGGCGCAGCAAGCACATGACCAATTCAAAATTCCTGGTAGTACCACAGCGGAACGAATAATTTTTGATACATACTCGATATTGACGATTGTAATCCTCTATACACTCATTTGGGTTGAGACATAGAACTGGGTAATAAATTAATATAAGCATTCTTTCCACTTCTTATTAGAACTTGCTTGATGAGACTCGTATATTACTACTAATCGTAGGGACTTGTTAGTATTAGATTCGCCTGTGTGACGACGACTTGATTGTTCTGCCTTGGTGTTAAACCAAATTCGACTAGTTACCACATGCGTTTATTGGATCCAAAGTTACGCGCGATAATTAAATTATAAGTTCCAGCCTCGGCTAAGGTATTCATAAGTACGTTATATTTTGGTACTCTGAAGGCAGTGAAATTAAAAAATACGTCTCGCAGAGCGAGGGGGCTTTGCCTCTGAATAATTTAATTTTCCAAGTGCTAGAGTCAGTTGACAACAATATAGTCAGTGGCAGTTGAGAGTGTTCCGAGCCGGAACAGTATCACGTGAAATCA